GGGGGGGGGGAATCAATCCAGAAAGTCACCGCTCCTGTAAACGTATTTTGGGGGGACCAATTCAGGACCCACTGGTTTTGGCACTCAACATTTTGCCATTCCCACCTCGTGCTAGATGGATTTTTTTAATATATTTTTTTTTTCACTGAAGTCTTCAAGAAACTCTCAGCAGGATTCCACAAGGGTGCTTAGTGCACATGAAGCAGTTATGGAAGTTACAGTCTTAACAGTGTAGGCATCCGCATGAGCACACGCTGGGAGTAATGTCGGTCAAAGGGGACATTACTCCACCTGTACCTTCAAGGCAACGGATAGGCAAAGCCACCGCTAGCACAGACAGTGACCGGAACAAAACAAAACAAAAAAAATATTTCAAAAAATAAAGAGCTAACCACAAACCAAGAGCTTTACAGCCAAAATAACAGACTAGCGACACACCAGTGTCCACAGAAGTCCATTACCAACAACAGTAACACTATCGGACAAGATACAGAGAGAACTAGGACTAGTCAGGACAACCAGACATCAATGTGCTGTTGTATATACAGTGGAGATATACAGAGACACATCGGGCACTGAAACACAAAGCACGGTAGAGTAAATCTACAACTTCCCTCCACAAACGTCTTTTGATTCACAAGAGAGCTTTCAAGCAGGCTGCACTCCGCGCTCCAGCTGGGGAAAGCCTCGGACAGACAGCAAGCCTTTCGCTCCCCCCACCCCCCGATCAGCGCTGCTACCACATCGCTCAGCTTTAGGACTCATTTCTCTCTGCTTTCTAACAAGCGTCATTGACATCTTTGAGAGTTTGTTTAGCTGGACTTCAGAAATATCAAACTGCACCATTAACTCTCGCTAGAAAACAACTGTTTCTCCTTTTCTGTAGAAATATTTAGATGCCTATTGCAGGTGAGTAGTTTTGTGTGCTTAAAAAGAAAAAAAACAACAAAACAAACAAAAAACCAAAAACTTTGCATTTACAAAGAGGCTGCCGTCGGGTGTTTTCCTAACAAACATCCAATAAAAATGCCTACGGGAATTACTTTGGATTATACGGTGGATCAGCACTGCTCATCCCTTTCCCACCTACAACCTAAACAGAAATCAAATAAGACCGAGGAAAATTTCTCTGTGCGTTTCTATCCTGGTCAGTCATTTAACTGCTGGAAAAGCATCCCCGGTACAGTAAAGACAAAGACTGAAACCTTAGCAAAATCGGGGGCAACAGAACAACAGAAAAAGAAGTACAAAATTAGACTAAATAAAATATTAAAAACAGCAAACTGAAATCCAAATTAGTTGTGAACGTGAATGAAGAAGTTGTAAGAAAAAAAGTGTTAACATTATGACTTGTGCGTTGTATAGACTGAAGCGGAGATTAAACAAACTCCAAAGCATGCAGATCTCTCACTTACCACCGTTTTTTTAAGGGTATGATGCAATTGAAGGGGGGGAGGGGGGGAAAAAAAAAAAAAAAAAAAAGAAGTCATAGTAACCGACAAATATCAATATAACTCAAAACCTTTAATGCCAGAAAACCTGCACTAGTAACCAGTTGTCTCTAATATGATGGAAAACCTGCAGCCGTAGAGAACATCATCCCAGTACGCTGCTTCATTCCATTCCGCACCTGCAGGGCTCCCCACACTGCCGCCAGGTGAGCTCGTTTTATAATTGACTGCACAGCCCCCCTCCTCGGGTAGGAATTTCCTT